TGGGCAGCAGATGTGAGGGAGGTTTCTCTGACTGCTGCAGAGAATCTCTCTGCAAAGCTCACAGTCTCTGTGGGTCCCAGCACCTAGTTTGTAAGACTGGAATTACCACAATGTCCCTCTTGCTAGCTTGGGGCATGGGAAGTCTCCTTCACAACTCTGGGAGTCAGAATATCACATCCTTAGTTATTATTATTTTTATTATTGTTATTTTTAATCAAATGAAGTCTCTCCCTGGATGGCAAGAAATTCACCCTCAGCCACATTGTGGGGCCCTGCTCCCGAGTGGTATGAAATATCCCAGGTGGGGGTGGGTAGTCATACTCAGTCCAGAACATTCCCCAGAGGCCCTCGGATCTTCAGCCCACATTAGCCACTGTGGCGCTTTCGTTTTCCACATTGCAGCTCGCTGCCGGGAAGGGCGCAGGGTCCCTGTCTGGGTGCTTCCTGCAGCCGGGCCCTGCCACATCCTGCTACTTGGCCAAAAAAGTCCCCACCCCTCTCTCGGGGAATCTCCCCACTCTTCACTCTGCCTGCTCCCCCACCTGCCCGTGTGCACACAAAGAGCCTGCGGAAGGAGCCTGTTGAACGTTACTCTTCGACAACACATGCAGGAGGGGGGTCCCTCTGCACTATCATCATCATCGTTGTCACCATCGTCAGCGTCATCATCGTTGACCTTTATCCTATGGAGTAACAAAAAGGATTGGGACCATTGTCCATTTGCACACGTTGGGAGAGGATCTACATAATCGCTTTACAGTTTACAAAGTACATCAACTTATATCCATGTTTTAATTAATATATTGTTAAAGTTAATATGATAACGCCTCTGAGGGAGACGAAGCAGGGATTGCTATCGCTGTCTTAGGATGAGAAAGGGAGACCAGAGTAGCTGAGGGACCTGCCTGGGGTCACACAGCTGTCACTAGAGTAGCTTTTGAGATGGCAGGAGCCCCTCCCCCACCCCATCCACAGAGAAGGGTCAGAGACATCCAGGCCACTGGGACATCAGTCTGAGAAAATTGACCGCCAGTCCCCAGGGAGACGGGCTGGGGGTCTGAGCTTGAGCTCCAGGCACATGGTGCTGAGATCTGAAGGTAAATAAGTGATAATAATTAGAGTGGGCAATCAGTGACTGAGAACGTGGCACGGGCCGGGCCGCGTGCGACAGCTCTCTCGGAGTTACTGAACGCTGCCGACTCTAACCCTGGCGGCATAACCACTCTTCCCCATTTCATAGGCTGAGAGTATTTAAGTCCCGTGACAAAGGTTATGCAGGTAGTAGGGAGTGGCCCTAGAATTGGTGTCCAGTCATATTTGATTATAGACACCAAGCTGTAGCTGCCAGTGAACTGGGATAATAACAATTAATAATAACAATAGCTAATGTTAATTGGAGACTTATAGTTTTCTAGACATAGTGTGTTAGTCTTGGTCCTCCAAGAAGCTGGCACCGAGATGAAATTAGAGGTGCAGGCATTTATTAGGGGAACTGCCCACAAGAGAAGGTGGGGAGGGAGGGATCCTGGAAGGTGGGGAGCTAGAAGAGCTGAGGTCAGAGGGATGCAGGTCTGCCCCAAGGCCGGGAGAGCAGGAGGGAGAAAGGCTGGGGAGCATCTCAGCTGCCCTGTGGTGATGAGGGAGTTCGGCAAGGCCATGGGTGTCCTTGAGTTAAAGTCACCCAGGAATGGGCCTGCCTTAGTGTTCCTGCTGCGCCTGGTCACTCGTGGGAAAAGCTGCCAGAGCGAGGCCTTGGTGCAAACTGCAGGAGCAGAGACGCTTCCAGAGCCTCAGCTGGAGCCCGGGTCAGGCCAGCTCCCTGCAGTCCACCCGAGAGGCAGATTCTCACGTCGTGCGCATGGTGACATGCACCTTATAGGCATTTTCTCATTTAATCCTAAAAAAGAATCTGAGAGGTAGATACTATTCATACCTCTTTTTTACGAATGAGAAATCCAAGTCCTAGGAGAGAATGAAGTTTGTCTGAGTTTACACGCTAGAAATGGGCCAGCGGGGGAAGTGAGGGGACTCATTCTCATTGGACAGCACCAGGTGGGTCCTGCTCATCTCTGTGGCTCCCACCTCCCACCCTCAGACCCTTAGCAGGTTGCCTTAGGGCACAGAGGAAGGGGTGCGGGGCTGTGACTGAACCCCAGCTTCTCTGGCCTCCATGTCCTGGCTCCTTGGGCCTCACCCCTGTCCTCCCAGGGCGGTGCCTGTTTGCATTTTGGCTAACCCTGGAAACTGGCTTGTGTGTCCATGACAGAGAATCTGCCAGCTGGAGCCCGAGGGGCACCTGAAGGTGGAACTGGCGCTGCGGGCTGCTGAAGCCCTCTTGGCGTGCTGCCATGAAGATCAGAAGCTCGAGATCCTGGCCCGGCTGAGGGACATCAAGGCCCAGTGGGAGGAAACAGTCACCTACATGACTCACTGTCACAGGTAGGGGGACCAAGGCTGGGGACATCACCAGGCCTTTGTCAGCAGCTTCTGCTGACACTTCTTGCCCACCACCATGCTGGCCTGGGACCACTGTCCAAGGGACATTTCTTCAGCGCTGGGATTCCTGGGAACAGGATGTTCTCTTAGGATTTGGGCCAGCCCTGCCTGTCTCTTTCTAATTATAATTGAGCCTAATGATAATAGACACCAGGAGCCATCGTGTTTGGCCAACAATTCCTAACAGACGTACCATGCCTGCATCTTCCAGCAGCCCTGCTAGCACTTTAGCCCAGAGTCTCTGCCTGCACCAGGGAGATGGGTGGTGGTTGGGGGCAGGGGAGGGGAGCAGAGACTCAGACAGACTCGGCATTGACCCTTGCCCTGATGGTCATGTCCTGGGTGGCCTTGGGAATGTTACTTGACCTCTCTGAGCCTCCAGCTCCTAATCTGGACAATCAAGTGCTCCTGGAAGGTCATTATGAGGATGGAAGGAGATAGCAAATGCCAAAAGCTAGGCAAGTGCTTGGCACAGAGTAGGCCGACAGTAAACAGGAGCTGTGCACACTCTCACTTGTTTGTACAGAACAGGAATGTGAGTGGAGATGGGAAGGACTTTGCATCGTGCTTTCTGCTTTTCAAATGCTTTCACTTGAAATTCCAAACAAAATGGCTTGATGTTGGCTGGAGAGGTAGAGCCATCTGCATGTTGCAGATGGGGAAACTGAGGCGGGTGAAGAGGCAGGGTTATGCTGTGAGTTCATGGCACTCCTGGAACCCACACATGGGCCCCCAGCCTTCTGTCCCCACTGAGTGGTAACAAGCTCACAGATACAATTGTCCTCTGCAGATGATCAGACCCCTTCCCAGTGACAGTCTTCTCCTGACTATTAGTGGGCACGCTTGTGTAAGGGCTTGGGACAACTGTGTTCAGACTCCCAGTGCCTGAGAGTCATGAATGGAGATATTTGTGCATTGACAGTGGGAGTTTGGGGACTGAATTTGGGGTGCTGGCAGCTAAGGGCTCCCCAAGCTGCATCACCAAGGCTGGGGGTTCTCAGAGTGCACCTGGAATCTGAGCCACCCTGATCCTTAGCCTCACCCTGGAGCTGGTTTACAGGACAGGAGGGTCTTATCCAGTAGGACTGAGGGAGGGCCCAGAATCTGGAGTGTCAACAAGCTGCCCAGGTGACTCTGAGACTAGAAAAGGCATCACTGTGCCCCTGTCACACAGCCCCAGTGTTGGGGAGGGGGCAGTGCATGGCCTCCCTGCCCAGGAGCTGGGTCCCTCACAGCCCCCTCTGTGCCCACAGCCGCATCGAGTGGGTGTGGCTGCACTGGAGCGAGTACCTGCTGGCCCGCGACGAGTTCTACCGCTGGTTCCAGAAGATGACGGTCACACTGGAGCCCCACGTGGAGCTGCAGCTGGGCCTGAAGGAGAAGCAGTGGCAGCTGAGCCATGCCCACGTGCTGCTGCACAATGTGGACAACCAGGCCACGCTCCTGGACCGGCTGCTCGAGGAGGCGGCCTCCCTCTTTAACAGGATTGGGGACCCCAGTGTGGACGAAGATGCCCAGAAGAGGATGAAGGCCCAGTATGACGCGGTGAAGGCCAAAGCCCAGGTGAGGCTTGGCGGGCTCCATCTTCACCTACCCATTCGTTTATTCACCTGTCTACCCACCCAGCCACTGGTCTGCCCACTGACTGTTCGCCCAACCACCATCCGTCCACCTGCCCACCCTCCTGTCCATCTGCCTCCTCACCCACCTACCTCCCCACTAAACTACCAATCTCCCATTCACTATTTACTCGCCACCCCGTCCACTTACCTACCCAACCATCCACCCACCCACCTACCCTCCTCTCCATCTGTTTACTCACTCGTCCTTCCACCTCCCCACCGACCTCATCCTCTCTTCAGCCACTTACCCACTCATCTACCTGCTCATTCACCTGCCCATCAGCCCACCCACCTCCTCACCCACCCATTCATCCATCCATCTCCCTGCTGTCTACCCCTTCACCCACCTACCTTCTCACTATCTGCCGTCTACCGTCACCACCCATCCACCCACCACCTAACCACCCATCTACCAATCTTCCAGCTGCCCGTCCACCCACCCTTCCACCCTCCCATCCGTCCACCCATTATCTACCATCCATATGCCCAGCGTTGCTCAGTGCTTAATACATATATCGGCGCATTGACCGACTGACTGCTAGACTGTGACATCTGTTTTCACCCAAATGGCTTCCCTCCTCTCGTCCCTTCTGTCTCCCTCCCTCCCCCCACCTGCCCTTCTTCCCCTTGCCTCTGGTCCTGCTCCTCTGGCCTCTACCCACTGCCCTCTTGCCCTCCCCTGGCCCCTTGCCCATGCCTGTCTGCTTTCCCTCACTTCATTCGTGCCTTGAGTTTGAAGCAGTTCATTGAGTTTTTTTTTTTTTTTTTTTAAGATGACCGGTAAGGGGATCTTAACCTTTGACTTGGTGTTGTCAGCACCACACTCTCCCAAGCGAGCCAACCAGCCATCGTTATATAGGGATCCGAACCCATGGCCTTGGTGTTATCAGCACTGCACTCTCCCAAGTGAGCCATGGGCTGGCCATCGAGTTATTAAGTGCAATTATTTTTTTAAGAAATTCTATTTGATTCTTAATTATGTCTACCTTTTTTCTCCGAATTTTGTTCTTTTTGCCTGAAATTTTACATTTCTCCCAGATACAGATTATATTTGCAATCATTCTAAGCATACGTATTTTACAGTCTCCATCAGATTGTTCGAGTAGCTGAAGTTCCAGGGTCTGATGTTACTGTCTTTTGTGTCTTCTGACACAGTGGATTATTTAACTTGGGGGCTTTGTAATTTTGAGCTGTGAGCTCATCCTAAGCAGGGCAGAACCCCATGGGTGGGACCTGCCCATACAGTGGCCTTGTGTTTCCTTCAACAAGGCTCTCCTAGGAATTTACCTTCGTGATTCCTATTTTTATGTCAGTGCATTGGCTTGGGGGTCCTGAATCAAGTGGGAACTCTAAAGGTGCACCAAGCCAAGACTGTGCAACAGGCACCTGGCTCCATGTTCTGAAAGGTGACCGGTTTTGTTTGTTTTGTTTTAAGCCCAAGCTAAAACACATAAGCTTCCTACTGTATTGTGTTTGTGGAAAGATTTTCTTCTAGTTCACCCTTTGCTGGGGAGGGAGAGTGGGGTTGAGGAGCAGCCACTTGAGGGTTCTGCCTTTTTGCAGTGGTCTCTGCTTCCTCTGGGCTCAAAGTCTTGCCCCCTACTCCAGCCTGAGCATTAAACCCAAGGTTTTAGTAACCAAGACCTTCAGGCACACGTGTGTGTTTAACAGGCTGGTTTCCACAGCATCTGTACTTCTGGTCCATGGGGCATCCTTCATCTCAGTGTGATGTGGGTCTGCATCTAAACAATGCTTGTTATATTTTATCCAACATTCCGGGCTCTCTGTCATAGAAGGGTATTCAGGTTGTCCTGTCCACCATAGTGCTGGAACTGGAAGTCTTCTGGGTTCTTCTTGCTCACAATTTGAGGGAAATAAGTTCTATAATAAGCAGAGACAGGGAATCCATCAGGAACAAGAATCTGGCCCCTGAATGCTTGAGAAAGGACCCAGGTCCAAGGCCAGGCTCTGCTGCTTCCCAGCTGTGTGGCCTCAGGGCAGCTCACCCTACCTGTAACCAGGTAGTGGGAGCTGAATGAGTTAAGTGCAAACTCTTGGAAACTGGCAGGCACTTCCTCAACATAGAGGACGATCTCTACTCTCCGTAAGCTGTGAGAATAAATAGCAGCAGCTGCTTGTAACTATTTACTGAATGAATTAGAACTCCACCCCTGCAGCTTGAAGGTGAGCAACCCCCGCCCTGCCGCCACCAGGGCCCCAGAGGGGAGCAGCAGGAGGTTCCCGGGGCAGTTGCACAGGGCCCAGAATGGCTGGGCAAGGCAGGCACAGGGTTTGGTTCTTGCCGATGTAGTCAGATGGCCCTGTCTGGCTCTGCCAAGTCTGGAGTGGCAAGGGCAGGCTGAGCAGCGATTTTCCAGGTCTACCACTTGGGCCTGAACAGGAAACTTGCCTGGCCCCAGGCCTTCCTTGTTGTGACTTTGCAGGAAACAGGTGCTCGTGCCAATCAACAGAGAGCCCCTGGTGCAGGGGGCGGAGGAGAAGAAATGGAAAGTGGCTAGTGTGTGCGTGTGTGTGCGTGTGAGTGCATGTGTGCACGTGTGCATGTGTGGAGGGCGGATGCCAGGGGTCCTGGGGACCTCCAATTCTGGCCCAGATGCAGAAATGATCACCTCAAAGAGTCACATGTCCTTCCAGGGGACTCTCCCCTCACATGATCAACAAAAAAAGTAGAAATCACAACTCCTATCAGAGAGTGCTGTCTTTTCTAAGCCTCTTCATGTCTCTGACTTCATTTCATCCCCCAGCCTTCTTATAAAGTAGATGGAGGGGGGAGCCATCCCCCTGGTGGAAACCCTAGAATTGCAAGATGACCTGGTCAGTTCTGAACCCATCTTGAAAATGGGGCGCAGGTGTTTGTGGGTGACTGGATCTTGCATGGAGCAGTGGATTCAGTGTGACTTTTCAGCTGTTGATTGAAGCTCATGACCTTGGTTTTCTCTTCCTGGACCCCAGAGGCTTGGGAACTCTGTCCTTCTCACAGGAGGCACATTTAGCTCTTGGGTGGGAGATGTGGAACACCGTGGAGATGTCTGCTCATCTCTCCCAGAGCTGGCCGTGGGGAAGACTGAGAGGTGGAGGGTGGGGGGCACAGGGGAAGGCCCCTCCGGCCCCTCTGAAGTTATCTTCATAATGTTGTTTGAGGGTGCCTTTCTCTGGGGTGAGGAGCCATAGTTTCCATAAGATTCCTTGACCTTTAGGAGACTGAGAAGCTGCTGACAGGAGCAAACCATTGCCTTACCCATGGCAAGAGGCTTGACTTCCTCACCCCAAGGTCCTTATCAGCAAAATGCGAGACAGCTCCGAGACACCAGCCTCCTGGGCATACCCCAGCCTTCCAGCCCTGGACAAAAGGGGAGACTGGTTTCACCCCAAGCAGGTGGGAGCTCTGCCTGTCTAGTTAGCACTGAAGATCCTTGGTGGCCCCAATGCCTCCTGGTCACCTGCTCTGTGCACTGGGTGAAGACCTCACCTTGCATAAAAGGCTCTTTCAAGGCAGTCCCCTTCCCCAGCAACAGGGCGAAGGCCTTTTAAGGCTCAGTCCTTGTGTCTCCCAGGCAGTCCAGGCCCAGCCTCAGGATGGGGAGGGTCTCTGGAGTGTAGTATGTATTAGTGCCTCTATTTTCACCAACAGGACCCCATTTCTAACATTCCTCAAGCTAGTTAACAGGCCCCTGTTTCACCTATAATAACCCATTTTTGATGTCTAACATGTCAATTTGCAAGGGCTCTGGTGTTGATGGGGATGGGACTGTTGGGTCCCCTCTGAACTGTAGCCTTTGCGAACACCCTCTGGAGAGAGATTCTTGATTAGGGAGACAGACTAAGCCTGGGGTGACCAAGAGCACACTGTCAACCCAAAGCATTGGAAGCGCGGCATAGACAGAGCAGCCTGGTTGTCAGGAGTGTCTGGCTTGTTTGTAATCCACGGATTCCATTTTCTGAAGGGCCAGGAAAATGGTAGCGTCTCATTCTCCAGCTTGTGGAGGCGGCCCTCGAGGAAGGTGTGTTTGTCTGGCCTCTCGGCCATGAACCACAGTCATTGTGCTGCCCTTGGCCGAGGCATAAATCCCCACTGCCCTCGTTAATTGGTCGGGTTTTGACCTTCCTGGCAACACCGCCTGGCCACAGGTGGGTTAATTGTTGGTCTAACGAGGCTGTTGGGCGCACTCCATTCGTCACCCCATCACCTTCTGTCGCCGTGGCCCGGCCATGGCTGGCCTGCGCTCTGTGGCTGTTACGTCTGGCACCAGCCTCGTCTGGATCCCCGCCTGCCCGGCCGCGCTGCCCTGGGCACCTGCTGCCCACCACACAGACGTTTACTGACTCTTGGGCCTCGCCGGTGCCAGCACCTCATTGTTCACACGCTCCGAGCCGCCCGCTGGCACGTTCATGGGAGAGTTCACTTCCCGACCACATTTATCACCATCGCCACCAACCGGGGGCCCGGCACTCGGTCTCTGCTTGTTATTCCTGATCTGCTTTGTTTCGTACACGAGGCTTTCCTAAGGATGGAGGAAGCTTGGGGGATTGTGACAGATGCAAATAGGCCGTGGGAGGAGAGCCAGCCGGGGAACTTGTCGAGGCTCCAGCACCATCCTCAGGGCCACTGGCAGGACACCCGAGGGGATGGTCCCCGTCTCTGGGTCCACTTTCAGATTCAAACAGCACCACCCATGTTTTGAGAGAACTTCTCGGCTCTTCACTGAAGGGCTTGGTCTTAAGCCTTGGCTCCCCCATCTGTAAAGTGGGGACATTTTTCTCTACTTGTGATGGTTGTTTAAATGAGTTAGTATTTCTAGATCTGGTGAGAAGCTTCTTACAGGAGGGGAAGGCACGTGTAATAGCCGGGACAGTTTTTCCAATCCACGTGCCTGTCCACTCTTCCTAATGGACAACTTTTGACTTAGCTCATCGATGGTCAGGGCCTCCTGGACATGGCCTTGCTCCCTGGTGAAGAGCTGAGGTCAGCAGACGACAGTCCACACCCCACATCCAGCCCCCGTCCTGTGTTTGTATGACCAGTGAGCTAAGAATGGCTTTGACATTTTTAAATGGTTGGGGGAAAGTGAAAAGCTGAATGTTTCGTGATGTGTGGAAATGATGTGAAATCCAAATGTCAGTGTCCATAATTAAAACTTTACTGGAACCCAACTATTCTTTATGCATTGTCTGTGACAGCTTATGTGCTACAACGTGAGTAACACAGAAGTGGCTGAGTAGTTGTGACAGAAACCACACAGCTGGCAAAGTCTTGACAGAAACATCTGCCAACCCCGTGCTAGAGCAGCAACTGTGGGGTTCACCATTTGTCCTTTGAATCTCATCTGTAAGAACCTACAAGGGTTCCTTAGCCTTGCAACTCTAGTTGGACATTTGCAGAGTGGGAGGGCTTTGTGACTGTTGCGAGTGTGAGATAATGTAATGCTTGTCAAATTCTGGGCACAGACAGGTGCCAGTTACATGACAGCCTCCCCTGTCCCTGTCCTTGGCTTTTTTGAA